GAATAGAATAGAATAGAATAGAATAGAATAGAATAGAATAGAATAGAGTACTTTATTGGCCAAGTGTGATTGGACACACAAGGAATTTGTCTTGGTGTAAATACTCTCAGTATACATAAAAAGATACGATACATTCATCAAGAGTCGAGAATCATAAGGTAGGACACTTAATGATAGTCATAGGGTACAATCAGCAATCAAATCATACTTGGAAACAGTCAATATAAATCATAAGTATACACGCTACAAACTTACAGTCATACAGTCACAAGTGGGAGGGGATGGGTGATAAGGAGTGATGAGAAGATTAACAGTAATAGTAGTGCAGACTTTGTAAATAGTTAGACAGGGTTGAGGGAATTATTTGTTTAGCAGAATGATGGCTTTCGGGGAAAAACTGTCCTTGTGTCTAGTTGTTCTGGTGTGCAGTGCTCTATAGCATCGTTTTGAGGGAAGGAGTTGAAACAGTTTATGTCCAGGATGTGTGGGGTCTATAAATATTTTCACGGCCCTCTTTTTGACTCATGCAGTATACAGGTCCTCGATTGAAGGCAGGTTGGTAGTAATTGTTTTTTCTGCAGTCCTAATTACTCTCTGAAGTCTGTGTCTGTCCTGTTGGGTTGCAGAACCAAAAGTTCTTGAAAACGTTCTTGAAAAAGGAGCAATTGTTTAACACTCATCTCAAGTTCCTTGACTTCACTGTGAAAAGATAAAAATTTAAAGAGTCTCTCAAGTCCATTTCAGCTCCTGCTGATCCATGATATGCCACAAGATTCTGTCTTGTCCCCTATTCTGTTAAACATCAACCCACAGGTGGTATTCATTTATTACTTTGGAATGGGAAGACATTGATATGCGACCATCCAAAGAAGCACTCAGTAGCTCTGAAAATTATTATCTCTTATGGACTGGATGAGAGATAATACACTGAAATTAAATCCAGATAAGAGTTGAGTTGTTGGTAAGGAGCAAGTGAATTCAGGGATTGGGGTGATTATACTCTAGATGGGGCTGCATTCCCCTTGAAATCCATGTATCACAGTTTAGAATCTCTAGGTGTCATTGGATTTGCTGATGATAGGTATTCCATTTGCACATCCATTGGTACTGCACCAACTTCTTCATGAGCAGGTGATTATTTTAACATATTTTAGATGATACTTTCTTTAAAAGCATCCAGAAATTGCCCTTGAATAAAATATGTCATCATGGCTCTTAAGATGTGAAAAGAACAGAGATAAACCAACACATACACTGAAAGATCTGTATGGATTCCTGGGTGCCTAAATAGCACAAATAGCAATGTTCCAATGTTTAAGGACTGTCTCAAAAAAGGGGGGATCAGTCTATTCTTCAAAGCATCTTAAGGCAGAACAAGAAGCAATGGATAGAAATTAATCAAAAACGGAACCAACCCAGAATTAAGGAGAAATGTTCTGACAGTTAGAACAATTAATCAGTGGAATGACTTCCCTTCACAAGTTGTGGGTCCTCCATCACTGGAGGCTTTTAAAAAGAGACTGGACAACCATTTATCTGAAATGGTATAAGGTTTCCTGCTTGGGCAGGGGTTTGGACTAGAAGACCTCCAGGGTCCCTTCCAACTCTATTATTCAATTATTTTATAGGACTCTACTCCCATATATCCCACCCTGTATAATGATAGTCAGATTGATGGAGTTATGTACAGCAGTACACAACTACAGTAAAACTACAGTAAAAGTTCTCTTTCTCTGCATTAGATCATTGAAAAGGTTTATGTCACTCTACTTTTGCTCATCAGATATGTCCATTCACTTCCCACAGGTTACAAAGATGCTGGCCGTGGTTGTAATCCTATTTGCCTTCTTGTGGATGCCCTACAGGACCTTGGTGGTCATTAACTCCTTCCTATCTCAACCTTTTCAAGAACATTGGTTCCTGCTGTTCTGTAGGATTTGCATTTACCTTAATAGTGCCATCAACCCTGTTATTTATAACCTCATGTCCCAAAAATTCCGAGCAGCCTTCAAAAAACTTTGCAAGTGCCAACAGAAACAGCTGGAGAAACCTACCAACTACAGTGTAGCCCTCAACTACAGCATCATTAAGGAAACTGAACATTTCAACACTGAACTAGAGGACATCACGGTTACAGAGGCTTACCTGTCATCCACAAAGGTATCCTTTGATGATAACTGTGTGACCTCTGAGGTAAGAACCAGAATAACAGCTTGATTTAGTGCCATTTCAATCAATAGCCATAAAAGAGAACATTGGTATAGCTGGACAATTTTGGACATTGTGGACAAGTGTGTGTCCTATACTGTTTAGTATATCAAAGTATGAAAAGTCATCTCTACTACTCCTATACAAAACTATTTGTTTGCATTTCCGCATTTCTAATTTAATAAAAGTAAAGATGTAGTTGGGCGAAATTATCAAAAGTGAAATCCACCAAAAGTTGACATAGGGGTTGACCTCTCAGTGTAGAATCTTCTCTCCAAGGTTAAGGAACTTCTCTGGATTCTCACAGTTCACTTTAAAACTTAAGGAAAACATGACAAAGGATTATGCCCTCATTGAGCTTTCTCAGGTTGGAAAGTGTAAACATCTAGAAATATGATTAAATATGAGACAAGAGGTGCAATTAAAAACAACATGAACATAACACTTTTTACCCAAGATACTTCAAAACAGCACCTCAGTTCCTAAGAAATTATCAAAATGAATGGAAATATGGCAAATGAACAACATTTTTTGCAGGGAAAATCTGTCTGAGAATGTGAGATTAAGAATAGTCTGTCTTAATTTCCTACAATGTTGGGGATTTTACCTATATTTGGATAGATACAAATATAGTGCTATGCTTCTGGTTTGGACTGGTTCTCCCAAACCGGTAGTAAAAAAAAGCCTTCCATGATCAGCTAAGAGGAGGGGAAAAATCTTCTGACAATCAGCTGAGAGGAGAAAGAAGAGAAAAGCCAGGATCGGCCTTCCCACCCTCCTTGCGCTTTTCTGTTCTTTATCCTCTCCGCTGATTGGCGCTTCAGGTCTCAGCTGATGTGGGGAAAGCTGTGTGCCGGCATTAGGCAAAGCATGCCCACCAAGCCACACCCACTGAACCGGTGGTAAAACAATTTGAATACCGCACTGGGTGGCTAGAAGTGACTTTTGGCATAATTTTCCTGAAAGGTTTTTTGTTTTTTTGTTTTTTGTTTTTTGTTAAAGCAATGTCTGTCTAGCAGTAGATAATAGTATTTAACAGACACTTGCAAGCAGGAGCATCCAATGAATAGTACGGTTTCAAGACTGTGAAAGCTAATATCAGAAGACAACCTTGATCTGCCTCTGTATCAACTTAAATGCATGGTGGTCATCTAAAGTGACTCATCCTTCAATTTCTCATTTCAGGTCATGTGAAGTTGGAGGAAGCTGCATCTCTTACTCCATTCTGCTTTTGTTCTATTTGATCTCAGAGCAACCTTCGCCAACCTGTTATCATCTGGATGTATTGAGAAATCAATTCCCAGAATTTTTAGTGGAAGTGTGCTGGGTTAGATAAGGCTGTCATAGAGTGATCCACTTCTGAGTCATCCTGCCTATTAATCTAAAAATATCCAAAGTGGTAAATGTCAACATGCTCATACTTATTGAAGCTACCATACTGTATATTATTAATGCTTGTTTTGTGGAAACTTAGAGGCAAACTGCAGATATGTATGCATGCATCCTTAATATTCATTTCCTATCTATATTTTCTGGAGTGAGTTGCCCAGTTCACTTTCATGAGATAACTTTAGATGTGATATTTTTGTGATTATTGCTGAGTCATTAAGAACATTGGTGCAATATTGCACTTTATGATAAGCAGTATGTGAATATGGGAGTTGTTTGCTTGAATGGCCCTATTTTAGGCTCCCAAGTCACAGCATTTTCTCACAGGTCCTATAGGTATATGTAATTATCTGCAGTTGAATGAAGACACTGTGCTATAGCTATTTGCTGCATTACTGCCAGTTGAGGCTGAAGGACACAAATCATATTGGCAAAATTAGAACCATCTCACTATGGAAGACAACAATTCCAGGAAAGAAATTCCAATCCAGGCCAAATTCATAAGACCGCCTTCCTTCAACATTAACAAATAATAACATGTTGCATCTACATTACAATAATTGTGCAGAGAAGAGCAAGAAATATGATTAGGGGATTGAAACATATAAAGAACGGTTGCTGGAACTGGGTATGTCTAGTCTTATGAAAAAATAAGGATGACATGATCGCAGTGTTCAATAATTCAGGGGTTGCCACAAAGAAGAGGGAGTCAAGCTATTGTCCAAAGCACCTGAGGGCAGGACAAGAAGCAATGGATAGAAATTAATCAAGGAGAGAAACAACCTAGAACTAAGGAGAAATTTCCTGACAGAACAATTAATCAGTGGAACAACTTGCCTCCAGAAGTTGTAAATGCTCCGACACTGGAAGTTTTTAAGAAGAGGTTGGATAACCATTTGTCCGAAATGGTATAGGGTTTCCATTCCATTTTAATTCTTATCTTATTGCAAGCTGCCTAAACCCTATTTTTGATTTTATTCCAATTTAGAGAACTAAATTGAACTAGTGTGGAAAATATGGCTGGAGATAAAGAATTTTTTTTCTCTTTTTCACAATGTTACATTTCTGGGTCAGTCAGTAAAATTAAATACCACTGTAACATTCTTTCCTCAAGTTCTTGAATGGAGGTGTAGAGAATATATCAGCATCAATTGAATTGTTTCCTCCAGCCCAACTTCAGAATTCAACTCTAAAGTGGTGCCCTGGTAGAATATAACACAGACTATTGTCAGAGCAGTGATTAGTGAATTCTTTATTATACTTTCGCTTCCTACTGAGCATCACTAACCACTCTGGAATGCTCTACCGGACTCTGTTGTTACAGCTTCAACCCCTCACAGCTTCAATCTCAAAATGTCTACCGTGGACCTCACCCCATTCTTAAGAGGTCCTTAAAGGGGCATGCATAAGTGCACCAACGTGCCTACCTTTGTTCATGTTTATGTTCATACCTACACTTGTTATCTTGTACATGTTTGACAAACAAATAAAATAAAAATAAAATAAAAATGTCAACCCTTTCCCAAAACAAATGACCTACAGACGCTAGGTGTCCAACACACTTGTCACTGAAGGCAAAATGATCATGTCCAGGCAGAGGGAGGGGTTTTTCATAATGGATTTACAAAATGAGAAGAACATAGGAAGACCATCCTGACCTCATGCCCAAAGTGTCCTACAGTAGATTGCCTGAATGGCATGTTTTAGGTCAAAAGAAGAAAGAAAACACTACTTCCACAGTCAATTAAAACTAAAGGCTTTCTTGGCAGCAAGTTAGACACAGGTAACATCAGGAAGACACATATCTCAAAATTGTGCTGTGGCAAGCAGGAGATAAAGAAACAAGCAGGATATGAAGACAGACACTGACTGGGTAATAATCAGGGGTGGGATTCTACTGGTTTGGCCCGGTTCGAGCGAACTGGTAGCTCTGAAGATCCGCTGGGAGCAAACCGGTTCAGTTTGCTCTGACCATCAGCTGTTACCCACCTGCCCAACCACCCGGCTCTAGGCTGTGCTTTATATCCTGTTTTTCAAGCTCATCTGATTCGCACGGCATAGCAGATTGCCATGTGTCAGCTGTTTAACATACAGGGATTGCTGGAGAAGGTCAGTAGCAAATGCTCTGCAGGTGCACAAAGTGTGCATTTGGTGTGCATGCATGTGAAGTGTGTGCTCACTGAACCAGTTGTTACACCGGTTCAATCACACCCCTGGTAATAATTCCCATTTAATTGAAATATCATGTTTCCAACTCAATATGCACTATGCCCTAGATGTTTTCCTGTATGTTAAAATCAAAGGAATTTTAAGTTGTCAACAAAGAGAAAAAAAAACCCAGCATGGATTACAGTATGAGCTGAATTAGAATCCTTTTCATGATATTTTACGGTTCTGCATATAAGACTATTCAAAACTGATATTTGTACACTTAAAATTTACAGCTGACATTTGCCACTTTGTATTTGATATCTAAAATACAGATATATTGTTGAGTTGATCATAGGATAGCAGATGTCTTGCAATGCTTCAATATGTGAAGGGATCAGTTTCATGGATCAAATCCTAAAGTTGGAAGACACCTCATGGATTACCTGGTCTAACTGCCTATATGAAACAGGAAATTCAAACTTTCATCAGCCCTAACTTGTGAATGGCTAATCTCTGCTGGTAAATATCCAAAGATCTATAATTGATTCTACTCTTGAATCAGGAAGAACTTTTTCTCAGTATATAAACAAAATATCTTGTAAATTAAGATTTGGACCCATCACCGAGGGCAAGGCAATGTTACCTCTCTTTATATGGTGAGACCTGAATCTAATTTCCAACTTCTAAGACCTAAAGAGGCCATTGGCAGATAAAATTGAGCACAGCATCTACCAAATGAAATGGGAGGAAGAATGGTCCCCAAATGCAGTGATTATGATGGATTGCTATTCACCTTAACATTTTTGGAACATATGTGGGCAAAATCAGGATATCAATAAATGAAAACCCTAAACTGGACCATTTTGAAAGTGGTAAATTTGCTATGTGTAATGTATAACTTGATTTTATTGTATCAGTTTGACTTGGTATTGTTTGAATGTGTTTTGCCAACAATTGGAAATGCAATTTATTATGTATGCACAACTATGCATACCAAGTGTGAAAAATTGTAGTATTTATGTGTCTGCTTTTTGCTTGTATTTATACAATTATATATTGTAGTGTAAAAGAAAATGCTATCTAAAAATATTTGATTTGCTTGCTTGCTATTGTGGCAAGGAAAATATTGTGAAGTAGTGTCTAAAGAATTATTTAATTGAATATAATATACTTAGATGTATTGGATTTATCTCTTATATTCTGGTTAGGGCTTATCAGTTCTGGTTGAATGTACACCTGAATGTTACATGTCTGGAAAAGGCCTAAGTAGATAATACAAAAAATAGTTCAAGACAAAACATTGTGGTGAAATTGCTTACCAGTATGCTCAGTAATAGGTTGCAGATGTATAATGTGAATTAATTTTCTATGGCACTAAGAATATAGTAATTAAATAAAATAAACTTTCAATGTGGAAATCCTTGAAAGTTTAAATGATCGGTGTCAGAAAAAGGGAAATTTCTTAACCTCAAATTATTCTGCTGATAAATTACTTTCTTTTTCACTTAGATAGATGTTTAATTTTCTTTACTGAGGAAGGTTGCATTTCTTCGTCCTGATTTGCCAAACGTCATCTCAAAGCTTAATTAGTGCTTGAACTTTATGTAATATTGTTAATCTACTTTTTAAAGAATTCTCTGAAGTTGGGGTGCACCACTTTCACTACCATATTCCCCCAAAAAGGATGTTTAGAAAGAGGTCTAAAGTTGTCCAAAATACAGGTAGTTCTCATTCAGTGATCACGAGTGGTACCAGCAACTCAGTTTTAAGTGAAGCAGTATGGAGTTAAAATACTATGTTTTTACAATCTTACTTCAGCTTTCCTTAGTTTTGCAGACCTGCAAAGGTCATGAATGTAAGGACTGGTTGCAAAGTTACTTTTTCATCACTATGATAACTGTGAAAAGTCACTAAACAAGAGGTCCATACCCTCATCCAAATAGGTGTTGATAACTGCTCAGATGCAATTCCTCATCACCTCACAGAAGCCTTAATCAGCCATGAGGGGCAGTGATTCAGCAAAGCTGACAAAGTCCCATCTCCTTTTTTCTGGATTTCCCAAATAACTTCATGAGATGAAGCCCTAAACAACTCCATTGGCATTCACAACTGGAGTTCACAGTGGCTTGGATTAGGGCATTTTATATGCTAAATGTCATGATAATTCTTACAGTGGCCAGTTGGGTTGTTCTTAGCAAACCTTCTTCCCAAGGGAAGAATGGGTGGTGTTAAAATGGGCTGTTGGTTGGCACTCAATAAATATGACAAGAGTGACAAATATATCATTCTCACCACTCCATACAGTAGGCCTGTGATGGTGAACCTATGGCACACATGCTGGAAGTGGCATGCAAAGCCATCTCTCCAGGCACACCAGCAGTCGCCTGTTGCTCTTTTGGGTTCCGGCGCACACATATGCACCAGCCAGTTAGTCTTTGCGTTGCACAGGAGTGCCAGAAACTGGAATAGCAGCTCCCTGGCATGTGCATGCACACTGCCAGCTGGTCTTTGTGCATACATGTACACCGGGGAGCTGCCCTTCTGGCTTCTGGCATTCCCCACCCAGCGTGCATGCTCCCATTTCGGCACTGGGTGCCAAAAAGGTTCGCCAACACTGGCATAGGCTCTAATATGAGCTCTTACCAATGTCCAGTTGGATTTGAAATGGGTCTTCCTCCACCTGCAACTTTAAGTGTCTCCTCTGTCTCACAGAGGCATCTTTCTAAGTCCTTTAGAGAATCAAGGAGCT